CTACATAGTAAGTTAAGAACTAACTTTGCTTTAGCTATTTTTTTCCCCAAGCAGCAGCCTGTAGTGAAGCTTTATTGCACCGCTCAAATGCTGCACAGAAATGCACCTGATAATTTTGCTCCCTTGTATTTTGTTCCCCAACAGCCATTCACCATCCATATCTGCAAACTGCAGTTTGTTTAATGGGCCGAGCTTTGTGCCGTTGAGTAGCTCATAAGTGTTACAACATGCACGCCTCGAGGTCCGATGAGTTTAAGGGAGAACATTTTCAACATTGCCTGCAATTCATTACCTGGAACTCTGATCCTCACTTGCAGTCACTTTCTCCTCTCTTCTGATTTGATTCTATTACAGGTTTAAACATAAGAAGCTTTATATGGGGCTTTGCATAATAACTTTGGGGTAGAGGAGGAGATACAAATCGCTTGGGCTTGAGAAATATGAGATGCAACTAACTGCTGTATCATGTCATAGGACAGAAGGTGGTCTGGATTAGTTGTTACCCACAGCAGTCCATTAGACTATGGCACTGTGGTATTGGTTTTCACTTCGCCCCATCCAACCACCCACACCAAACATGCACACACACACACAAGCATAACCCTTCTATTAAGTAAACCTTCCGGCTACTCCATTACATTAATTGACCAGTTAAGAACATACAAAGAACAAAAGAGAAAACACACAAAAACTAAAGCCCTTTGAGAAAAAGCGATATGCAGTATATACTCTCGATTTGCATTGTGAGCTGCGGCAAATGTTTCTTAGAACAGTCTAAAAGGGCACAGTTCTGTCAAACAAAACAAATGCTTCCAGCTATCTTTATACTTTAAGGTTGCATGCTAAAGAGAAATGTGTGATGATCCCTGGTGAGAAAAACAAATTAACTGTCACATTACTAGCACACTTTCTGCTCATTATATTGGTACCTTCTGGCTGATGAGGTTGACCCAAGGGGATGTACAGTTGCTAAAGTCGGGTCCCTGTGGGTCCCAGTATCCCTCCGGACCCATGCACATGTGTGAGGCCACGCCTAGAGAAAGAAGAAAGACAGTGACTTAGTGAGAACAATGCCATGGGATTTATTAGATCAAGAGACACAACCATGTCAGTAAATGACAGCTACAGTGACACATGTTTTGTCAACGCGTGTTTCAGAAAGATCTCTTGGGAGACAATCACGCTTACCCACATTTCTCATTCTTCTAACTCACTTTTCCCATTATAGAGTGATGGACTACACAATGCTTTCAGTCTTGTCGACAAATGCCCAATTCTTCTGTATGTCAAGCACTTTTCTTATTTGCAAAAACTTGTCTAAATAAAACTGCAATGTCCCAAGGAACACAATTCTTAAGTGATTCAATTAATGGTTGTAGGAAAATGTAATTGGATGGTTTTATCTTAAAGTGACTAAAATGAAGTTGCTTCACTTGAGGCCAGCCGAGCTTGCCCAGACAGCGTCTGTATTTAATCATTAAAAGTCAGACAGTGTCTGTATGTGTGTGACAGTTCAAACTCCTGCATGAGGAAGAAAATGCTCCAAAATAGGTGCCAATTAAGTCTGCCATCACTGAATTCATCACGAAAGGTCAATTAAGCTGGTTTGAAAAAACTGTCTCTGCTGAGAAATAGAGACAGACAGACAGACAGACAGACAGACAGAGAGAGAGAGAGAGAGAGAGAGAGACAGAGAGAGCTGTGGGGAGTGACTGTTACAATTTTCCATCTGGGCTTTAGTAGAAATAAAACTTCAGATACATCATCTGTTAAGGCTCTCTGACCCTGTTATACCTACCTTTAACCTTATTAATTGTTATTATAAATTAAATCCATTTAATTTGGGCTGCACAATTTGGAGAAAAGGTCATAATTCAATCATTGTGGACAATATTGTGATTGCTATATAACGGAACAAATGTTATATGAGTCTCCTTGCTTGATTATCAAGGAAAATGCACCTAGAAGGAGTACACATTGGCACAATGGCATCCTGGCTAAATCTACATCGGTCCAAAGGCTCCATCCACAACCTTTAGGAGGACTAGTATAAATGAGTGATTAAGTATAATAAAATTTTATAAAAAGAATAATGTTCAGTTAATAGTATACCGTTAGTATAATGTTAATACATTAATTACTATATTCATTATAATTTCATATTATAGTATTCTATTTTACCACTGGTTGAATATTAAATCCAGTTACAGCTGTTTAATTTCAGGAGGTTGTTTTAATTCATTTAATCCTTGTGCAAGAAAATGTACTATGCACTAACTTTTCAATAATCATATTGTTCAACATCTGAATGTTTGCTGTGGTAGGTGAGTAGTGAGTACTAGCGATTGCAACTGCAGTTAGATAAATTGTGCAACCCTACATTTAATCAAAAGACAGACAGTATAAACCACATTTTTGTGTGTATGTGTTATTTGCAGTGACTCCAATGGATGCACTGAATTCAAAAGCAAAGAGTCTTTGACTTGTTCTTCCACATACCTGAAATAACTTGCGTCTATATTTTCAGAGCAAGGCTACATGCCGTCATTAAATTGCCCTTGCTTGTACTTGGAGGGTGAGAGGGCCAGCATTAATGGATATACATTTTGATTGACATACAATTTCCTTCCCCAGTCCACCTTGGACAGCCTTATGTTTGATGGGTTTATAAGATAAGGAACTCTGCATTCCCTCTTTTATTGAGAGGCAGGAGAAGGAGCATGAAAGAGGACAGTAAGACAGGGAGTCGGAGGGGTATGTAAGGGGAGACCGAATGACAGCGAGCGAATTGAGGTAGATGGAAGGGGAGCTCGAGGAACTTTCAAAGAGTGGCAGAGGAAGCTCACACAGTCGTGTTCTGCTTGGCAGTGTTGTCTGAAGAGCAATGGCTTTGAAGAGTTCGCCGAGGGGAGGTGGGGTATGTGTTCGTCTTATCTTGCCATATGACGGCTGTTAGTGAGGTCTCGACGGATGCTGGTGTTGCCCATTAATGAAGCCTGTATCTGTGTGTGTGTGTGTGTGTGTGTGGCTGATTGATGATACGAACAGAGTTTCTTTAGGCTTCGAGCCAGATTTGGTGGTATGATGTCACTCCCCAATCTAGGGTGACTTGTTCTATAAAAAAAAAAACATGATAGGGGGGTTTCAGCAAATTCCTTAACAAAGTCACAATTTTGTGCAGTTTTAAAAGATGTCATTTGCATCACCTCTTCTTTTGGGTTTGTTATAATCTATTACCAAGACTGAGTTGCTTTATTTATGCAACAATACTGTCTGACAGCAGAAACCCATAATATCAAGGTTTCTAGGTTATTGTACCTCAGTCAAGTTTAAGCTTTCATTCTTCCATTGCAATTCATCTCTTAATTTTAAGAATTCAGAATGATCTTCAACCTTAAAACATCAGAGCCTTTATTTAAAAAAAGTCTAAGCTCAGTGGCCAGGTCTCATTACAATAGGAAATTCTGCTGGATCAGCACTCAGCTACTCTTACTTTCTGAGGTAACTCTTTTATATCTAAAGCAACCAACATCGATTTTATCTGAATGTACACTTGAATTCATTCTCTTAGCATTGATAGAAAGTCAGAGCTGGGACAACATATACAGAAACACATGGCCTGATGCCTGATAAACAAAGCTCAACAGCCCTTTCAAAATTCCTAACACAAATTAGTTTAGCCACTAATTAATTACACCAATTGTGTCCTGAGAGACAGGAAATAAATATGGGTGTGTGGTGTACTAGTTACTGGTTTCCATTCACATGCGATGCTAAGCTATCTTTAGGCTTGCACCCGTGAGTCAGGAACAAAGAGTGAGGAGGGAGGACAGAAAGCGAGCGAACTAGTGCCACGGGGAGAGTATAAACATAAACAAAACACACACCAGCGACCAACATCAAGGCGAAGAGCCTCACAGTAGACTGTGTCTCCTAACAAGAGTATTGACATCATAACAGAGTGAAACAACATGTGCTTTTCCCTTGCACATTTTTCAAAAGAAAGGTTTTCAAAGATTAATCAGGATAACTGCATGTAACTATAAAACTACTGGAATAACGTGTAATGCACTGTTATGAACTGATTGTGAAGGTGAAACTCTCAATTTTCCGGTGGATCTGCATTCCAACGCTCACTAGTCGTCATTGGCTTTGGGGAGGGACCAAAAGAATGCAAACCTGGATATAATGAGTTTCCTTCACGGGGCAACCAGGCTCACCCTTAGATAATCCACAGGACAGAGCCAGAGTCAAACTGGAGAGCTATTTATTCCATCTGGTCTGATCATTGCTTCCATCTGGTCTGATCATCCCTCAAGTACAGGTGGCATGTGTGGCTTGCAAGAAGAATGTCTGGGCTACCTTTCTTAACCTGCTGCCACCATGCCTTGGACCCACATTATTTCCCAAAAATGTTTATAGATAAATGAATTGCCCTCATTTTATCTTCCAAACAAATGTGGCTAACCAGGGGGTGTGTTTAAAAGTTGATGGTCTTCAGGCTACTCATTTTCCTTGCCCCCTCAAACCTCTTTATGTCTGTGTTCAATTATCTTCTGAAGGAACTGATGGCTACAAAATAAGACAAGATAAGAGTTGTTATGAAACCAGAATTGCCCTTGAACTATTATAGAAAACTACATTACCTGAGGTTCCAGGTGGACATGGCATTTTTGCCATCACACCCTGCTTGGTCTTGGGCCAGGAGATGTCCATAATCACCAGGGGATTACAGTACTCCACCCTGATGTTGGGAAGCTTGGAGGAAGGTGGTGCCCTGTCGTTGTCTTCTGGGACCAAGCCCTCCACCAGCGTCTGGGCAGGAGCCACTACTGTGGACGTGGTCCGTGGCCACTGGGCCAATGCAGTTGTTGTGGCAGGCACCCTGGTAGTGGTAGTCCTGGTTGTGGTGGTTGTCATGGTAACGGTGGTTGGTCGAGTGGTGGTCCTTGTCGTCGTGGTCGTTGTGTCCATGTACACCATTACAGAGGAGGACGTTTCTGGATAAAGGGGAAAGAAGGATCAGAGTGAGCTGACAGATTCTAGGAAAAATGCAGAGTTGGAGAAAGAAGATTGAGAGTAAATGTCTTTCTTTTTTCAGTCACACTTCATTAATGTCTGAGAGGAATTTTAATGAAAAAAATGACAGTGTGTAGAGGGGAGGGGGGGGGTTCTATTCTACTCTCCTTTCCATTTGTCAGTTTAAGAGAAGATAGTTCAAAGTGGATCAATTGGAACTGGCAGGTGTGACTTGCATGGGCTTGCATGGTGTCTAGTTCGGGACCCCTGCTGGCTTGGCTAACACACACCACACATACGCACACTTGCAGCCGTCTAGTCTAAATGGAGCTGCTGACGAGGGCATCTCTCTCAATGGCTGGGTGTTGTAGCTACATGCTATTTCTGGGTCAGCCGGGACAAACTGGAATACCTATTTCCTGGATGAGTCCTCCCTGTGGTTACACTCCAGGAGGTGCTTACTAATGATGTTGTTTACCTTAGCTGTTGGAGACAAGGGCTATCATAATACTAACACACATGCACACATACACTGGCTCAGTACTCCTTTTCTTATACACCTCCTTGACTCCTCTGTCATCAATCATCCCATCTAAACATCCTTCATATTCCTTCCCCTGGGTCCCTGATAGGAAAATAGGAGCCCCAAATTAATTTAGCTACAGGCCTTTTATGAATGTGTGGACTTAAACCACAGAGGGTCAGAGGACACACAGAGGTCACACTAGCCAGGCCTTTTCTATGAAACTGTGTGCTATGGAATATCTTTATTTAGGAACATTGCTCTGTGTTCCTTATTATACATTTGCATTATTATTTAAGATTCTTCAATTTGCTATACTGACATTTATATATGCCATGATCTTATTACTGTCTGTGGTTTGGAAAAAGGCAGATTGCTGTAGTTCCCATGATAGAGCACTTTCTCACAGACACACACGATCTGGGCCTTTGCAAAAATGCAATTTGGGACAAGCACTGTTTCAGCCTAATGCAGAGATACAATCAAAATGACAAAAGTGACAAATGGTCCCAATCTTTGTATGGAAGGGTAGCAAAACAAAATTTAATGAGGGTCGATTTTAGGGTGGCGGGTGTAATGGACGTCACATATCCAGAGAGCTCAGATAACAGACATCACTGCTGAAATCCACTTCAGTGAGTTTCAATTTGCAATCGGATGATTTCTCTGTATGGTGAATCTGAAAGCGCTGAAATAAGACAGCATAAATTAGTGCCACTGTTTTGGGAAACGCAGAGACGCCTGGAGGCTGTAATGACACAAACCAGACCACTATCAGCAGTCAATGCATTCAACGCTTAACAGCATTCAGCGACAGCCAAGGTTGATTAAATAGGTTGCCGTCGCAGCAAGAGTTCCACGCTGATTAAGTATTTGTTTTCTCTCACTAACAAAAGAATTTGTTGTGTTTTTAAGATCCGCAAGTATCTTGGACACTCCTGTGGAGGCACTCCATCAGTAAAGTGGAACTATAAGAAGAATCTAATTGAATTGCAATGTGAACTAAAGGCATGCAGAGCCTGTTTAACTCTTAACTACCTGGTAATTCAGGATGTATTTTCCAAATGTGTCTCACAGACAGAAATAAAAACAAATCAGCAAAGTATACAGCTGTAAACTGAAAAAAACAAGAGCTTGGAAAAGATACGATTGCACTAGCGTATATGGATGCAAACACTTCACTGAGCTAGCACAAATGCACAAACCCTCATCAATCAACATAAACTGACACCACCACCCATCAACAGGGCTTTAAAAATCACATGAATGCTCAAATAGGTATTTAACATTTCCACCAGCCACCAAGACATCACCATTTACATTCTATAACCACTATTAGACATCATCATCAATCTGCGCCACGGCATTTCAGTGGATCCTTCAGCTGCAGTGATCATGAAAATAGTAGGGAGAAATATCTTCAAGGACACAGGTCTATTCATTTGATTATTTATGAAATAACTTATTTATGCATCTGTATTTGAGGAGAAGTGATAATGATGTTAAATATGTCACACCAAGTGGCATAATTTTAAGTATAATTGAAATCAGCCGCTGGTGCTTAAACTGCATATAGTAAAGGAGACCATAAGAGCACCTGATGGTAATCTGATCATGAAAATTCACAGCTCATATTGGGGTCAGTAATGGTCACAGTGCACAGGCTCAGATACGCTAGTGGCTAAAAAGGTGTGCAGATGGACCTATTAGGATAAGGGAATTATTCTACTGGTCAGGACGGCTGATACAGGAGCGATTCTGTCTGGGACACATTTTTGCTGAGGGAGATTGTTGCTTTAGCTGCCCAGACTGATATAAGTAAACTGTACAGTGATATGTGATGCATTAAGCAGTTTTATAGGAAGACGTAATAAGAAATACCGGTTTATATATTAGTTTTTAAAGCATCTCTGTGAGGATTCTCAGTCATCCAGGGCATAGCTATCCAAAGAAGTTGCTGATATTTCTGAGTTAGTTTGTTGAATGTGTGACACAAACTAAGAAGTAAACACAACGCAACACGAGAGCTGGCAGAATGGGACCACAGCCAGGAAACATGTTCCCGGTGAAGTAGCCTATGCTGTGTTTACATCTTGTTTTACATTTGAGATTAAAACCATTTAAAAATGAATCTGTGATATGCTAAAGTATGGTAGTACACAAAGGGAAGAGTCATTATAGTCAGCAAACTGACACAGAAATATCAGTTAAACAGCAATATCTATATTTCTAGGATTGCTAGTATAAGCTAGCATTAGCCACTATAAGCCACAGGTCATGTTAGACCAAGAAAAGCTTGAGTAGGCTAATTTCAATTCAATTCAATTCAATGTGCTTTGTTGGCATGAATGTTTAGGTTAAACAATGTTGTCAAATCCGTTTGCAGCTAAATCATAAAGTTTACATTTTGAATATGACAAGAATTAATGCAACCATGACCGTTCATATAATATATTTATATGTTTTGATTTGTAAAAGAAACAATGTGCTGTTTCTTATTTCAAATGTTACATGGTCTTGCTTTAAATTTCATGATAACCTCCAGCATTAATGACAATGTGATGAATTTAGTTTACCAATCCTTTTTAAATAACAATAATGAAAGTTATCATAACCTTCTTTAATGCTGGAGGTTATATGACAGTACAGAGAAATATGGCTCGAGGAAATCGCCATCACAGCGTGAGGTTAATTCAAAGTCACTAGGAACCATGTCTAGAATGTAATTCCATACTTCCAGTTGATCCCGTTGAGCCTACTGCTGAATTATTTTTCAACGCGCAGCATGTTAAATACGCCTGCAAAGACACACACAAGAGACAGAGAGCAGAAGCGGAAAAGAAGAAAGTGTCCTTGAGCAAACTTGTATATCTTTTCCGTGAGATGAGCACAAAAAAAAGGAAAGCCAGCAGCAGACTGCAGCCACAGTCTGCAGGCACTATCGCCTTGGAGACAACACAAGGACATTTTGTTTTGCTTTGCCAGCTTTCCCAATCTATCCAAAGGGATGAAGAGAGACAAAAAAAAAAACTGAACTCAAGAGCACAAACGAGGTGAACAGGACTTTGGTATGCTCTGAGGGACTCGTGAGTGACCTTAGAAGATGATTTGAATGTGATTTTGGTTATAAGTTTTATAAAACAACACAATGGAGGTCCCAATAAAAAACTATAAATATAACTATAGATGGGTGAACTCTTCTCTTGTACTTAAAATAATGTTTTCTTAATAAAATCCCCCTCTTTGCAATATTTTTCTTCTAGAATTAGGTATTAGGACTTTAGATATTGCTCAATGATACAATGCAAGAGTATATCATTCAATTATATATATATAAAATTCAATAAAATGGCCTCAAACCTAAAAGTAATTCATCTCCTGTATATTTAAGGTTCAATGCATTCCCAAAGGCATTACAAAGTTGATTAAAAATGAATGATACTAACATCCAGCTATCAGATATTCATGATTCTTAAGCTAAGGAGCTTAAGAATGTTCCCACACCTAAAGAGGTGACCTTTTCATTAAAAAAAAACGTCTGTGGGTACTCCAGCTTTCCTTTCATTGAAACAACAACTCCACTCCTCATTTACACTCCACTTCTATTGCAAAAGATCCCCTTTACCAAACGCATGAAGTCTGTTTCCACCACACACAGAGCTTTGTGCTTCATTTCAAAGCATTAATTTCGAACTAATTAGCCTCTCTCACTGTATCCCAGGGCTCGTGGCTTCCACAATTAGATAAGCCCACTCTACTTCGCTCCAGGAAAAAAAAAACAAAAAAAAAAACCCTGCTATGCTATTATGAAATGAATCCGGTTTATATGACTTGCCATTTCCGTACCGAGAGCGGGCTTGTCGGCTCGGAGAAACTTCTGCAGACTCGAGATCAAAAGAGGTGGAAAGGGCTTTCGGGGGTAAAAATGAAATGAACATCAGACGGTTAAGTGACTCTTCCAACCTCGTGCTGAACCCAATTACCTCCTAATGCATGGTTACATCTTCAGTAGGCACTTGCACAGACAAGAAAATATAGGACAGTCTTTGTGCGATGTCACCCATTAACTTTCTACTAAACTGTTTAAAGACTTCCGGGTGCTGGGACATGTATTTTTAGAGTGAAGCATACTCGAAGCCCAAATCCGTTATCACGGATCTCAATAAATTACAACCATATACTTGTTTCATTTGGCCTGTTTGATGCTGCTTACACTTTGTAACTTAGTCTACTTCTCTTAAAGTTAGGTCTCATGTCAGAACTTCTTTTTAGGTACATTAATTGTCCTGATGTTTCTCATCATTGCAAGCATCGTGTTTTGGACACAAGTGCTAATGACTACAGGTTAATAATTTACTTGGGGTGGGTTTTCTTTTGGACATTTTAGGGAAAATGGATTACGTTTGCGCTCCTTGCTACATTAAGAGCTGTGAACTAATGTTTGATATTTTTGCACAT